ACGAGAACTTGGACACCTAAAAACCTCAGTTAAAGAAACAGAATACTCTCGACCTTTTACGGCAGATGAAATATCCACATAAATTCAAGATCTTAAGCCCGGAAAGGCTCCCGGATTTGATAACATCAGTCCTGAATGTCTAATACACTGCGGAAAATTTGCGATCAAATGGCTGGCGGAATTTTTCACCGACATACTTCGAACTGGAAATCTACCCAAAGAATTTAAAAGATCCAAAATCTCCAAAAGCTATTTTGAAACCAGGCACCACCAGTGGACTCACCTAAAACCTACAGACCCACTGCTATCTGTAAGTTACAAACTGCTCGAACGCCTCATATATAACCGAATAAGCCAAAAAATCTTTGACGAAATCCCAATAGAACAGGTTGGTTTCAGACCGAAACGAAGTTGTGTTGACTAAGTTCTTTCGCTTACCACACACATAGAAGCAGAGTTCCAAAGAAAACAAAAAACAGTGGCTGCCTTCATCGACCTGTCAGCAGCTTATGACACGGTGTGGCGAGAAGGCATAATATATAAGTTTCTGCGAATTATTCCGTGCAAAGTAACAGCACGACTGCTTGACAACATGCTGAACGACAGAATATTCCAAGTCGTAATGGGATCTGACACAAGCTCTCCAAAGAAACCAAAGAACGGTCTACCTCAAGGAGCGGTGCTCGCACCGCTTTTGTTCAGCTTATACATCTCAGATATGCCCGAAACCAGGTCAACAAAACATGGGTACGCCGACGATTGGGGACTTACTATAAGATGCGGCTCATTCGAAGAAGCAGAGGAAATTTTGACGGCTGATCTCGAGAAGTTAGGGAAATATTTCCGGAAATGGAGACTCCAACCAAACGCTAACAAAACAGAAGTATCGTGCTTTCACCTGAATAACAAACTTGCAAATAGGGAACTCATTTATCAAAAACAGCAGATAAACTGAAAACAAGAAACCACATAATATAAAAATTGTACGATACATCTTGGGGCGCTTCAGCATCTACTCTACGCTCGTCAGCTCTGGGTCTCGTCTACTCAGCTGCCGAATACTGTGCTCCGGTATGGCTCAATAGTCCACATGTCCACAAAATAGACGCACAGCTCAATAATACAATCAGAATGGCCGCTGAGGTTATTAAATCCACACCCACAGAATGGCTTCCATCAGTACTGAGTCACATCCCACCCCCAAGTCTGCGCCGCATACTCTGTACAGGGTGGGTCCAATTCGACACTTTTAAATGGAAACACCCTTTTCTATAGGAGATAGACGAAAACTAATATCGGTGTCTGGAGCTCAATTTTCATCAAAAACATGATGGTGAAAACCGCACATCAATATCTGTTACCGTTTCGGAGTTACGGGGTGTTTTTCAAAAATGTGCATTTTTAACAAATTGCTGTGACTTTTTTACTATGGAAAATTTTGTATTTCTATGAAAACATTTCCAAAGCACTTTTTTACGTAGAATTTAATGGTTTAAGTACAATTTTTTTAAAATTAATAATTTAAGAGTTATCAACAGAAAAATTGATTTTTTATATGGGACACCCTCTATATTTTTAATTAACTGAAAAAAATTTAAAATTACCTTTCCAAAAATATAGCACACTTGATATTTTGTTATAATCCCCTTCGAAATACAGGATTTTTAAAAGTTCGCCACTTTAAACTAGTAGGCTTTGGACCACTTATTGATGATATGCCCTTAATGGAACTCGAAAACATATTTTTCCAACAAGACGACGCACCGCCTCTGAACGCTGAAGTTATCAGCAAATTTTTGCAGCCAATTTCAAGAATAATTGAATAGCTAACCAAGATCCCAGCCGTTGGCCGTTGAGGCCGCCTGACTTAGCGCCCATGGATCTAATCCTATGGATATATTTGCGGAAGAATAAAGGTTCCTTATTCTTCCGTATAATCTAGACAAGAATTAGAAATACTTAGCAGGTATGAGAGGGTATCTTTCACCCCCACTGAATTAATGAATTCCGCGAGAAATGTTCAAAAACTGTCCCGTCTGTCCATAACAGAAGACGGTCGATATGTCGAACATCTGTAGCAAAATCTCATGTCTTGGTTTGCTATTTATTTTTATTGTTATTAGATATAGTTTAAATGTGTTGATGTTGGTTAAATATACTTTAAATTGTTATAAAATTCTGCATCTCTCATAGCAAATATTATTTTCGTTTTAATTGATGCCCACAGCTATAATTTTTTTTGCATTACAGTCGGTGCCGTTCAAAGCCTACTTATTTAAAGCGGGTGAATTTTTATATACTCTATATCTCGAAGAGGAATCGAGCAAAATATCAAGTGTGTTATATTTTTGGAAAGGTAATTTTAAATTCTTTTCAATAAATTAAAAATATACAGGGTGTCCCATATAAAAAATCATTTTTTTTTGTTGATAATTCTTAAATTATTAATTTTACAAAAATTATACTTAAACCATTAAATTCTACGTAAAAAGGTGCTTTGGAAATGTTTTCATAAAAATACAAAATTTTCCATAGCAAAAAAGTTACAGCGATTTGTTAAAAATGCATATTTTTGAAAAACACCTCGTAACTCCGAAACAGTAACAGATATCGATATGCGGTTTTCACCATCATGTTTTTGACAAAAATTGAGCTCCAGACACCGATATTAGTTTTTGTCTATCTCTTATAGAAAAGGGTGTTTCCATTTAAAAGCGTCGAATTTGACCCACCCTGTACAGAGAGTTTAACAAGATATTGGACAACAGAGAACTACCGATCCATACAGACATCGAGGATGCTAACCACAACCGCCTTCGATCCAGAAAACTACCCACCAAGACCGCACTAAATGCAGTTGAAGACGACTGGAACATCACCGACGCTTGGTATCAGGAATGGACGTCGAAACAAAACAGTGACATGACATGCATCAGCAACTCACCACCAGGTTTCGACTTACCAAGAAAAACCTGGTGCACGCTAAACAGAATTAGAACGCAGCATGGCAGATGCCTATACCTGACACAAATGGGGCAAGAGTCCAAGCCCCTCCTGCGAGTGCGACAAAAATCAAACCATCAAACATATCGTGGAGGAATGTCCTGAAACGGTTTATAACGGCAGACCAGAAGATTTCCTGTTGGCAACTCCAGAATCAATAGATTATATAAATTTGTTAAATGTTCGTTTGTAATTTTTTTTCTTTTTGTCATATACGTACTTTGTGTCTTAATATGCCATGCACGAAATAAAAACTCGCATTTTCATTGGAGAACATTGTCATATTTATTTCAAACCAATAACCAACGAGAATAGTCGTATAATTTGACAAAATGACTGTAAATCACTATAAATACGAATTGATGACTAGGTTCAATTTTTTTTCTCAAAAATAACTCAAAGTTACGTGAATCCCTTCGAATTTTACCTCAGGTAATGAAGTGATAGAAATGTTTTTTTTTGTTTTTAAATTTCAAATCATAATCATATATACCTTAAGGGCAGTTCATTTTAAAGAAAATAGACGTAGATTACTAGGCGCATTACATTTAAGCTTAAAGTATAACTTAATCGTTTTTTAATGATAGAGCATGTTCTCCTAAGAACATAAACAACTAATAGACTTTGTAGATTCTCACAGTTTATTTCTTTCGCCAGTGATTAAGATGTATGATACATGAAATGCATCTTCAGTTAAAATTAGAGTTTTTATTAAAAGAGCATTACAGAAGAAAAAGTTACACAGAAAATTAAAATGACCTTTTCTGTTTACTAGTTCGTTAGTTTTACATTACTTTAATTTTTGCTAAATTTATTTTGAGATCTACTACTTTATTACTGGCTTTATTTATATTTACTGTTAACACAATATACTATATTATTATACTATTTATATAGGTGTATTAGCGTGTACCCGCGATTTCGTTCGCGTCGAATTAATCATTTGTAAGAATTTCCATTAACATACAAACTAGATCAAATTTTCTAACATTTATGTCAGCATGAGAAAAAACAATATGGCGATATTATTACATATATAACTTGGTAATATTTGAGGGGTAGTTTCATTTCGTTGGAATTTGACTTTCGAAAAATCCGTTTGCCAAAAATAAGCTTTTTACGTCAAGCAGTTTAAGCAGAATCGTGGTTAATCAGTTACCCAACTTTTACAACACCTGTATGATTTTTTTAAAAAAATTCAAAATATGTTAAAAAACAAAATAAATTATGCGTGCTTGGTTTTCCCGAAAGACTAACCGTTTTTAAAATAACAAATATTGTAATATTTGAGAGGCGTTTTCACCCTTTTGGAATTTGAGATTCGAGAAACCCCTCCTTATCGAACCCCTACACCCCACAGTCAATCCGTTTGCCAAAAATCAGCTTTAAACGTGAAGGAGTTTAAGCAGATTCGTGATTACTCAATGGTCATATTTTATGAAACACCCTGTATAAATGTTTAAAAAATCTTAAAATATGTAAAACAACAAAATAAAATATACATGTTTCAGAGTTTTTCCGAAAAACTCACCGGTTTCACCCCCTTAGAATTCGAGTTTCGAAAAATCCCTTCTTATCGAACGTCTACACCCTAAAGTCAATCCGTTTCCCAAATATCAGCTTTTTACGTCAAGCGCTTTAAGCAGGATCGTGATTAATCAATGACCAGATTTTTCGAAACATCCTGTATACATTTTTAAAAAATCTTAAAATATGTAAAAAACAAGATAAAATATACGTGTTTAAGCGTTTTTTCGGAAACTTCACCGTTTTTTAAATAAAAAATATTGTAATATTTGAGGGGTGGTTTCACCCCCTTGGAACTGGAATTTCGAAAAATTCCTCCTTATCGAACCTCTACACCCTAGAATCAACCTGTATGCTAAAATTGAGTTTCTTACGTTGAGTGGTTTGAGCAAGATCGTGATTAATCAGTGAGTCAGTCACTTAAGCATTTTGTATATTGGTATAGATTTCACAAAAGAAATAATAAATACCTGGTCTGGTAGAATCTGATGAGACTGCATTTGTACTTGTGTCCAGGCTGCCATCTGTTTGGAGGGTATATCAGGCGCAATTATAGCTTTTTTCGGCTTCTTTCTCAATTCTTGCAAAATGGGAAACTTGGAGTTCTTGTCAATATTGGAGATGATAACTTCTCTCACGATCTGGAAAAAAAGTAATGACATTTTTTTTAAAGGTTACTATTATTAGATTTGGATTAACACAAATTAATAAAATTACCCTTACCACATCAAAGAGACCGAAATCGACCCTACAGAACTGTGCTAACAATAGAAAGACAAGTCAGTGGCGCACATGTTTTTTTTAGAAAAATATAGTGATAATAGTGGTCTCATATACGTGTATATGAGTCATCACTAGAATAACTGGTGAATCTTACTTAATGATTTTTTTTTTTTTTTTTTTTTTTTTTTTCACAGCCTAAAGCCGGTTTTAGCACTAAGTCGGGATAATTCTTATCAACGACCTAATCGCGGTTCAACACAGTGCGAACGATAGAACAGGTAGAAAGAATTGTGGACTTCTGCATGGTAGAGATGATTCTTTCCAGGTTGTGAAGTTGGAGTTTTTTAAGGCTTTGAACAAGGTTTACGTCTACTAGGCCGTTACAGGTAAATATTATTGGTAATATAAAAGTCTTGCTCAAATCGTATATAGCTTTTAGTTCTTGCGCCAGTGCTTCATATTTTGTGTTTTTCTCTTTTCTTGCATTTTTAATATTTTCGTCTAGTGGTATTGTGATATCCAGCAGGTAAGCATGTTTTTGTTTTTAATAGAAGACTACTATATCAGGTCTATTATGCTGCACAGTACGATCTGTGATGATGTCAGTATCCCAGTATACTTTTACGTTTTCGTTTTCTACTATTTTTTCAGGTAAGTATCGGTAGTAGGGTGTAATTTCATTTAAAATATTTTCTTTTTTACAGATTTCTTGGTGTAGAATACCAGCCACCCGGTTGTGCCTGTCCAGATAATGCCGCGGTGCAAGATAGGTACATCCAGAGCAGATGTGTTGAATTGTTTCCGGAAAGGCATTGCATAGTCGGCATCTGTCATTAGGTAAGTCCTTTTTGGCTATTATTTTTAGAAAATTTTTAGTTGGTATTTGCTGGTCTTGTATAGCTATAATAAATCCTTCGGTCTCAGCTCTGAGCTCTCCATCTCTGAGAAAACGTAATGACAGATTTCGGTCAACGTCTGGGTTATATAAGTTGGATGGATATCTTCCGTGCAAGGCTTTCCCTTTCCACTCTTCGATTTACTTCGATGATTATTATTAATTTATTATTTTATTATTAATTTATTATTATTATTAATTAATGAATTAAGAATCACTTACAGTAAATTTTTCTCTCAAAATTTCATTCGAGTTGCCAAAAGAACTGTAATAAATTGAAAAAAAATGAAGACTTTAACCGTTTCTAGCTACAAAACAAAGCAGAATAATTGACCCTATGTTGATACAAAAAATAAATATTATTGTGCGGACCCGTGTGGACTCGGCATAACCTTAACTAACTAATATGTCCGGCCCCCATATGACCTTAATATCGCATTAAAGAATAGACACCGTAATGATTCATTTGAACGTTCGAGAACAATCGAGTTCTACTGGAATAGAGGAGTGCATACGAGAACATTATAAACCTTCTCTATGCACTTAATAATCTAACGCCAAACGGATTATTCGAGAACTGTTTAGCTGTGGGTATATAATAGGGTGGGTCGAAAAACCCATTTTTTATTATTGCTGGAGGGATAGTGATAAAAACTTGTCTTACCGGATTAGAAATCTATGTTCAAAAGATGGGCAACATCGAATAAAATTTAAAAAAAAACAACGCCAAAAAACTTTTCGATATTTGTGCCTGCAAATGTTCCACTTTTCAAAGCTGTAAACGTCCAAAAGAACGTAAGGTACCTGAAATTGAGTGGCCATTCATTATTGATCAAAGAAATAACTGGAAAATGGTGATTGGGGCGGTGGATCATGTAATGACTCAAAAACTACAAAAGTAAAAGAGAGAGGTAAACTACAAAAGTAAAGGCTCATCTTCGAGCCTTGGAACTACAACAACAGATGACAGCGACGAAGAGTTTGAATGCCCCAAATCTGTGAAATCTAAGCAAGCCAAACTTGATATTGATAAACCATCATCGCAAATGAGTTCGTCTAGAATTTTCAAAAGTCTAGGGTTCCAAATTAGGCAAAGAGCCGTACTTTAATAACAATATGCTATATAGACGCAGCTTTACAGCCATTTACAGATTTTTGAGGTTAAAAGGGCGCAGCTAGAATTGATCGTAGATCATCCATTTTTTTTTCATGTGTTACTTAGAACACCTAGTCATATTTATTTACTACCCTGAGCTTCTTTTATGTTTATAAAAAAATACCCCTTTTGAGGGGGAGGGGGGCGGCCAAATGTTGACTGACAATGTTCAGTTTTTTTGTACAGTTTTCCTAATATGCGAAACAATTATCCTTACGAGAAAATCAAAAAAAAAATTTTTTTTGCCGTTTTCGACCCACCCTAGTATATAAGCCGACGCGACGCGACGCCTGGGGCCTGAGGAGGACAGAAACAAATAGACGAGTACAGTTGCCGCGCTAAATTCAAAACAAATTCTTTCTAGATAAATTAAAGAAATTTAAATTAAAAGATAATAAAAAGATAATTAAAAGTTATAAATAGTTTGTAAATAGTTCTTTAAGTCTTTTATCGTTATTGTTTTTATTATTTAGTGCAGAATAAACTGTGTTTAAATAAATTGTGACTTTCTATTCACACGGAACCGACGAAAAACGTAACATTATTTTACCTGAGGAAATTATTTTATAACGTAACATTATTTTACCACGAGAGATAGCATATGTTTTTTGTAACACCCTGTACAGTACTGCCTCTCTAATATAGTTTGTTCAAAGACTAGGTCCGTAACAGTGACAGTGTCTATCATTTTAATTCACAGGAAAATTGCATTTTCTGTCATTTTTTTGATGTCGTGTGTCGAAATCATTCCTGTTTCGTTGGACAGACTTTAGTAGCTTTCGGATTTGGCGATAAAATATATATGTTGGAGGAATATAAAATATATATGTTGGAGGACATTCGGCCGAAATTCGGCCAATGTCCAAAATAATTAGACATGTGGCGATTTGTCCATACTAAACTTGCCAGGGGGTTAATCTTTTTTTGGTAAAATATAACAACAAAAGATTAACATCCTCCGCATAGAAGTTGAAACCAATGCAATCAAAACTCTTCCGCGTAACTTTGTGGATATAGGTAGGCATAGTTAATTATAATCGCCATATGTATGTCTAATTTTCGGCATCTGCCTCCAACATATATATATAAAAATGTAAAAAATTTCATTCGAAAAAAAACCGACGTTAAATACGGCTGCGGAATGACAATCTATGATAATTTTAATAATATAAAAATAAATTACAACTTTTTTAAAGGGCAATTGGCAGTAAGCGTCATTAAAAATTAAAGAAGTGTAGTAAAATTAAAGAAGTAAATGACGTCTAGGGCTCGACCACGCCAAAATTATGATCGATTAGCCATTTTTGACGCCTTTTTTTCCAGTCGTATGGTACCTACTGTACTTACTGGAAATTTGGCCGAATGGGTATGAAGTTGTTGCAGGTTAGAGTTAGCCGGATATTCCAGAGCCGCTCCAGGGATTCCCGGGTCGTTCTGTCCGGAAAAAAGCGGCATACGGTAGGGCGGAGGCAGCGCTGGCTTGACAGAAGAGGTGTTCTGTGTATGGTAGGTACTTCCAGGCACTGAAAAAAGGGATTTTATACATTTTTGAATTATTAAGATGAAGATATTACATAGTCATAGTACTCTTTGAAGGTGATGTCCCAATATTCCGTACTAATACTAACTAATACTACGCATTTTTGAGGTTAAAATAAATTCATTGGATACAATTTACCTCTATACAAAAGTGCTTTGTTTGTTCGTTAGAGGGCATCAAATATTAAAAAAATACACACTTTTTTAAAGATATTTTAAGAACCGTTAATCCGATTTGAAGGAGATTTGGGATGCCTATGTTTTGTTAAGCGCTTTAACATATTTACTTTTACAAAAATATATTGTTAAATTCGTGATATTTTGTTTCTAGTCGCAAAAAAACGCTTTACTTGCTTTCTGTATGTACGTATGCTTACCCGCCAAACAAAATTTTGTAACCTCAATATTGTAATCATCTAACATTGAAACAATGTCATATTGGTTAAGATATTAATCCACCCCTATAACTTTTTTATTTTTTCAGTTAAAAAACGAATATTCGTATGTTAATATATGGCATAAATTAAGATTGATTGACGTATTCAGTTCTTTTTGGCCACTTCCTGTTTCACCGGAAATGACTACAGCTTTTGATTTTTAAATGACACCCTTGGTATATTTTTACTCGATAGAAAATGACACTCTGAATAGAATGACAAATCATATGTCAACTTTTGACATTTTCGCTTAAAACAAAATTGTATTTTAAATTTCAATTTTGAGTGATGTGAGGCTGTGTTAAATACACTAATTTTTAATCAAGGAACTTTGAAAAAATAGATTTGATCGTCTAATGTTTTAGCGTCTTATCTTGGCCAGTTAAAAGATGCCCAAATCGTATTTTTAATCATATCTCAATTTTGTCGAAAATTGGAACGAGGTTGGTTCATATTTGGTAAAAAACATTTTTTTTATGAATAATTTGTTACCTCACACTTGGTATTTCGAGTCAAATAGCCGTTATTTACAGCTCTGTCACGTTGGAACCCGCTTTGTAGTAAACTTTTCGATTTTTGGCTTATCATCAACTACAAACGATGCAATTGATTGTAGTAAATTCAATTTTTTTGTAGTACTAATAATTAGCCAGAAAAAGTAAACAATTGTGCGCAATGTAATAAAGAATAAAAATATTGTTAAAGACATAATGTCAAACGATGTTAATTTCCAAATTTTACTATAATTCTTTAATTCCGAGAAACTTTCGTTGAGTTTTTTTGCTACTACATAAAACTACAAACGATTTTGAAGGTTTTTAGACATTTGTTAAAACAATAATTTTATTCTTTATTACATTGCGCACAATTGTTTACTTATTCTGGCTAATTATTAGTACTACAAAAAAAATGAATTTACTACAATCAATTGCATCGTTTGTAGTTTGTATACAACTAAAGACATTATTTCAAACTATGTTAATTTCCAAATTTTACTATAATTCTCTAATTCCAAGAAACTTTCGTTGAGTTTTTTTGCTACTACATAAAACTACAAACGATTTTGAAGGTTTTTAGACAATTGTTAAAACAATAATTTTATTCTTTATTACATTGCGCACAATTGTTTACTTTTTCTGGCTAATTATTAGTACTACAAAAAATTGAATTTACTACAATCAATTGCATCGTTTGTAGTTGATAATAAGCCAAAAATCGAAAAGTTTATTATAAAGCGGGTTTCAACGTGACAGAGCTGTTATTTACCTATTATTATACCGGGTGTTCTATTTAAAATAAGAAAGATGCTACCACTTTTCAAATGATGCGGCAACAATCTAAGGCTGAAAATATTTTAGAAAGATGGAGCAGAAACCATAAACGTCTAACGTGCTATCGCCGTGAATCACCCTATATAATATTTGTATTGTTGAAATTAAACACTTCACTTCCAACACTTAACACCCTAATATAACACCACATAAACTTTTAACATGTTATTTTAATATCCTCTGATACAAAGTCGTACATCGCTTGGCACTTTAGTAAACACTGAGTACGTAGTTTGTGTACAAAGTAAGCACAAATTAGAGACCCGAAATCCACTGTTACCGTTAGAATTTCCTAACTAATGTTAATAATAACAAAAAATCAGCGACCTTATTCACACGATTCTTTCGCACTTGTCTGTCTACAGGAGAATGAATTAAAAGAATAAAGAAAATGTAAAATTTCGTAGTAGTGAGGCTCGTTAAAACAAGCGGAAGAAAAAGGAAGCAGAGTGAATTTTTTAAGGAAACCAAGCGCGAAGTTACGGCCCAGAGAAGAAAGAATATATTAAAATGGACATTACCGGAGACTTAATATCTTAAGAGTCAGTTTTTTCTGTCTCGATTAAGTTTAACTGTTTTTTACAAGCTCAGACAAATAATCTAAATAGACAAACCTTAGTGTTCAAAACAAAGGTACCTAAAGCCGTGTACTCAACTGTAACTGCAACTGTAACTGCAACCGTTGCTGCAACAGAATCGTCGCGAAGGTATGCACGTTTCTCTTCTCGCGAACCTCTCGATCCGCAGTGTTTGCACAGAGCTCGCGAGCACAATGTCCCATTAAAGAACCAATTTCTGTCCAAGCATCTTCTTTTAAATGTCTCTTGTAATAGTCTTTATTTTTTGGATCCCATATTATAGGCATGTTTTTGTACTTTTCAATTAGCGCCAAAACCTTTTCTTCGTCACACGTACTCATATTTTTGTTGGTTGTGAGACTATTGGAGGCACACACTGGCGAACGTCTCAAATCGACGTCCACAAACTAACCGAGAATCTCTTTGTGTTCGTCCTGAAAACCGACAACTGGCGGCTCGCTGCGAACTGTTCGAAGCTGACTCGCGAACCTGGTTCGCAACGCGTCCACACTATAGAATTTGGTTACAGCAACGGTTGCAGTTACAGTTGCAATTCGCCAGTGAGTACGCGGCGTAATGGTGGGTTTAGACTTGAGCACGCACGAGCTGAGCGTGCGCGCACGGCATTCGTTCGCGCTCTCGGCTCCGTTCAAATTAAAAACTTATTTTTCGACGAATAAAGTGATCCATTTGTGCGCGTACAGCAGAGTTGTGTTGGGGAAAATAATGGACGACCAAGAAATAGTCGAGGCTGAAGTCATTGTTATGCACAGCTTAACTATTAAAAAGAAGAAAAATCGAAAACAAATTCGCTGGTGGTAAACCCAAATTTTTAGAAATCTATATAATTTACTGCAACAACTTAGTGTCTGAGGAGGGCTATGATCAGTTCAAAAACTTTACAAGAATGACCAGGCCCGACTTTAAATATTTACAAAATTTAATAACACCAAAAATTACGAACAAAAGATGCAAATTTTAGAATAGCAATTTCATTAATATCGACATATTCAATATTAATTTTATCTACAAGGTTTTGCCATGCGTTATATTTTTTTTGATTTTTTAATAATACAAAGAATGTTTAACATTCCATAATATAGGCAACTTTTCATATTTTTCAATTAATAATAACGGAGATTCATTAATCCACTCCATAATTTTAATAAAGAAAACGAAAAAAAAATCACGCACGCACGCACGAACGCAGACAAGACAAATTGCCGGTCCAAATTCAGCGTTCGCGCAAATATTAAATCCCTTTGAGCACGGACCAAAAACCGAAACCAGACGGCTCACGTTCGCGGCTGCTCGCGCACAGACAGATTCGGAGTGAGCGTGCGCGCACAGCCGCTTACACTTGAGCATTCGCGGAGGATCAGTGCGTGCGTGCTCAAGTCTAAACGCACCATTAGGTATATAATGGTGCGTTTAGACTTGAGCACGCACGAGCTGAGCGTGCGCGCACATCATTCCTTCGCGCTCTCGGCTCCGTTCAAATTAAAAACTTATTTTTCGACGAATGAAGTGATCCATTTGTGCGCGCACAGCAGAGTTGTGTTGGCGAAAATAATGAACGACCAAGAAATAGTCGAGGCTGAAGTCATTGTTATGCACAGCTTAATTATTAAAAAGAAGAAAAATCGAAAACATCGTCGCTGGTGGTAAACCCAAATTTTTAGAAATCTATATAATTTACTGCAACAACTTAGGGCTATGATCAGTTCAAAAACTTTACAAGAATGACCAGGCCCGACTTTAAATATTTAGAAAATTTAATAACACCAAAAATTACGAACAAAAGATGCAAATTTTAGAATAGCAATTTCATTAATATCGACATATTCAATATTAATTTTATTTACAAGGTTTTGCCACGCGTTATATTTTTTTTTGAATTTTTAATAATACAAAGAATGTTTAACATTCCATAATATAGGCAACTTTTCATATTTTTCAATTAATAATAACGAAGATTCATTAATTCACTCCATAATTTTAATAAAGAAAACGAAAAAAAATCACACACGCACGCACGAACGCAAACAAAACAAATTGCCGGTCCAAATTGAGCGTTCGCGCACACATAAAATCCCTTTGAGCACGGACCAAAAACCGACACCAGACGGCTCACGTTCGCGGCTGCTCGCGCACAGACAGATTCAGTGTGAGCGTGCGCGCACAGCTGTTTACACTTGAGCGTTCGCGGAGGATCAGTGCGTGCGTGCTCAAGTCTAAACGCACCATAAAATCAGAAGTAAACAGATACCTGCTAGGTTACCATTTATTTAGTAAAAGGTTTATTAACGAAGATCATATACGATCATATATATACGGGGTGTTTCAAAAAGTATGTTTCATTTCTCGTGGGGATATTCCTCCTGTAAAAATAAGATTTTTTTTAATGAACGCAGGTCCAATTCTGCTTTGTTTCGTAGTCATAGGGGGATAAAGTCTTAATATTTTTCGATTTAATATCATTTTCTTCCTTTTTATACAGACACGGACAAACAGCTATTACTCTTCTAACCAATTAAAAAAATATGTATGTGGCGCCCAAGAACAGTTAACCTAATAGAACTGCTCATTCAGCCAAAAGTGTCCGCCAGGTGCATGCGAAAACTCCTCGCTTTGTGAC